AATATCTTGTACTGCCCCCTTTGGCAAGTATCACAGCTTGTAAACGCTTTTTGTAGCCAGCCAAGAGTCTTTCAATTCTTGTTTGAGGTATCTTTGCCCATTCTTCCTTACAAAAGTCTTCCAGTTCTTTGAGATTTCTGGGCTGTCTGTCACGCACTGCTCTTTTAAGGTCTATCCATAGATTTTCAATTATGTTGAGGTCAGGAGATTGTGAAGGCCATGGCAAAACCTTCAGTTTACGCCTCTTGATGTAATCCCCCGTGGATTTGGAGGTGTGTTTAGGATCATTATCCATTTGTAGAAGCCATCCTCTCTTTAACTTCAGCTTTTTCACAGATGGCATCAAGTTACCATCCAAAATGTGCTGAAATTTTATTGAATCCATTTTTCCTTCTACTCGTGAGATGTTCCCTGTGCCACTGGCTGCAACACAACCCCAAAGCATGATTGATCCAACCCCATGCTTAACAGTTGGACAGAGGTTCTTTTCATTAAATTCTGTGCCCCTTCTTCTCCAAACGTACCTTTGCTCATTCTGGCCAAAAAGTTCAATTTTAACCTCATCGGTCCACAGAACTTGTTTCCAAAATGCATCAGGCTTGTCTATATGTTCATTTGCAAAGTTCAAACGATGATTTTTGTGTTGAGGACGTAGAAGAGGTTTTCTTCTGATGACTCTTCCATGAAGACCATATTTGTACAAGTATCTCTTTATAGTGGAATAGTGTACCACAACTCCAGTGTCTGCCAGATCTTTCTGGAGGGATCGTGCAGTCAAACGTGGGTTTTGAATTGTTTTTCTCACAATCCTGCGAGCTGTTCTGTCTGATATTTTTCTTGGGCTTCCAGATCTTGCTTTAACTTCCAATGTTCAATGTTCCTGATGACTGCCATTTTCTTAATTACATTCCGATCAGAGGATATTGACATCTGACATCTTTGCTATCTTCTTATAGCCTTCTCCAGCTTTGTGAGCGTCAACTATTTTCAGTTTCAGTTTTCTAGACAACTGCTTAGAAGAACCCATGGTGCTGATTGTTGGGGCAAGGTCAGATGAGTCTGGGCATTTAAAACCTTTGAGATTGACATCACCTGGTCTTCCTAGACGATGATTGAGAACAATCCATGACACTGGCAGGTCTCAGCTTTGCAAAGGGGGCAGTGCATGCTATAAATTCTGCAGGGTGCCCAAACTTTTGCAGACGCCATTTTTTTGTTTTCTGTTATTTTGAAAGTGTAAATAATGGAAAATAAAATCTAACTTTTGTTGACATATTATAAGAATGTCTAATCTGTAATTTGATGCCTTTTGGAGATTTTTTCCATCTTTCCTTGGCTTCTTTATGCACATTAATACAAATTTTTAGCTGGGGTGCCCAAACTTTCGATCCCCACTGTATGTGACCTCACTGTGACCTATTTCTTCCCCTTTAAGGGGTTGAGTACCTCTTGGGCACCTCTCTGGAGTGGTCGCCATATGTCCATATGGTTCCTCAAGGCAGCTAACACAACCAACATCCTCTCAGTGGTACACTCTCCAGCATACAGCTCAAAAAAATTAAAACCATCATTGCACCAAATTCTGTCAAATTAAAACTACTTAATTAACAAAATAATGACATTACACTCACATATTATAGTGCACATTATACTGGTGCACTGCATTATAGACCACCTTAAGGCTTGTTTCACACCAATGCATTTTTTTTAGTACTTTTTGCAAAAACGCAATACAGTCCATTTAGCATAATTTCCTGTGGAACATGTTCACATCTCCGCTTTTTTGAGCTGCTGTGTTTTTGGAAAAGGTCAGGGACTTTATTTAAAAGCAGCGTTTTTTTTTGTACAATAGTGTTCAATGGACATGCATGTAGTGCGTTTTTGCCGTGTTTTTGCATTTTTTTTTTTTTTTTTTTTATGCCCAGCAACAAAAACCTTTCTCCTTTAACAAAAAAAACAAACAAAACACACGCTGGAAAAAAAAACTTAAAAAACGGCAAAAATGCAAAATGCACTGGAAACAGACAAAACGCAAAATGCATTGGTGTGAACCAAGCCTTAGGGACTGTTGCTCCCTTAACCGCTTCCCGACCGCCCTATAGCAGAAATACTGCTACAGGGCGGCACGAGTTTGCAAAATCACGTATATATACGTGATTTTGCAACTTCTGGGTAGGGGGCGCGGGTGGCCGTCAATCACCGGACCCCGACCGGTAATTACCCGCCGGCGCCCGGTGATTACCGAGCATCTCCGACGGGGAGGAAGACTGTGTTGTTTACAAAGAGTCTTCCTCCTTGTCAGCTTGGGCACACTGCTCTGGATGGCTGTACAGCACAGCCATCCCGATCAGTGTCCTTACAGTGAAGTACCCCTAGTAAAACACTCCCTACATATAGTTAACCCTTTGATCACCTCTCATGTTAACCCCTTCCTGCCCAGTGTCATTAGTACAGTGTCAGTGCTCTTTATTAGCACTGATCACTGTATTGGTGTCACTGGGGTGTCAGTGACACCAAGCTAGTTCCCCCCCCCCCCCCCAGTGTCAGAATGTCCACCGCAGTCCCACTAAAAAGTATCTGATCGCCACCATTACTAGTAGAAAAAAAAAAATCCCAATATCTATACTGCCATTTTTAAATGCTATAACTTTCACGTAAACCAATTAATTTACACGTATTGGGATTATTTTTAGCAAAGACATGTTGCAGAATACATTTAGACCTAAATTTATGACGAAATTTGATTTTTTAAATTTTTTTTACTGGATTTGTTTAATAGCAAAAAGTCCAAAATATTGGTTTTTTTTTTTCAAACTTGTTGGTCTTTTTTTTACAGCGCAAAAAAATTTAAAAACGCACAGGCGATCAAATACCACCGAAAGAAAGCTCAATTTGTTGGGAAAAAAGGACGTAAATTTAATTTGGGTGCAGCGTTGCATGACAGCGCAATTGTTAAAGTAACGCAGCGCCGTAACACAAAAAAATGGCCTGGTTAGGAAAGGGGAGAAATCCACAGGAGGGTAAGTGGTTAAGAGGATTTTAGAACAGCAACTCACAATATGCAACCATTCACCCACTTCCAGGTGTTTGTGCTGATGCCATAGGCTCCTCCTCTATACATTTCATCACATGACTTTCCTAAGGGAAACAGCCTGGGCACATACCAGTTTATATGCTAGCCTCTGGTTTAACTGGTTACTATGGTGATTCAACACCATCTTTACTTGGCTTTTGCCACTTGTTCCCAATTACCCACCAATGGCCCAATTTTTTTGGGTGCACAGTAGTTTTATATAGCTGTGCGGCAATTAAAATGATATAGGCTTTCCCACTGCAGTAAATGAAGTTCAGGTCTCACTTAACTAATGCAGCAGGTAAGGGTGGTAACAAAGATTCTGAAGAATTCAAGGAGAACAACCTTCCTGACCCTTTACAATCTGTCATTCGCTCACTACACTCCACTGAAATTGCCCTACTAAAACTCACTAATGATTTACTAACTGCTAAAACCAATGGCCACTACTGTACTCTTACTACTTGACCTCTCTCTGGCTTTTGATACTGTTTACCATTCCATCCTCCTCAAAAAACTCCACTATCTTGGCCTCAGAGACTCTGCTCTCTCCTGGTTCTCCTACTTATGGCAGCGCTCCTTCAGCGTTACCTATAACTCTGCCTCCTCCTCTTCACTCCCTCTTTCTGTAGTGGTCCCTCAAGGTTCTGTCCTTGGACCTCTTCTCTTCTCCATCTACACCTCCTCCCTTGGTCACTTGATAAACTCCCATGGCTTTAAGTACCATCTCTATGCTGACGACACACAAATCTATCTTTCTACCCCTCACCTCACCCCTTCAGTCTCCTCTCACATTACTAACCTACTAAGTGACATATCAGCATGGATGCCACTCCACTTCCTCAAACTAAATCTTTCCAAAACGGAGCTCATACTATTCCCTCCAGCCCGTGCCCCCTCCCCTGACTTCTCCATTAAGATCAATAATACAACCATCAGTCCCTCCCCTCATGCCAGGGTACTAGGTGTAATCCTGAACTCCCATCTGTCCTTTCAGCCCCAAATCCAACCACTGTCCAAATCTTGTAGACTTCACCTCCGCAACATCTCCAAGATACGCCCGTTCCTAACCTCGGAAACCACTAAGAAACATATTCACTCCCTTGTTATATCTCGCTTTGACTATTGTAACTCTTTCCTCATTGGCCTACCTCATCGCAGGCTATCCCCTCTTCAGGCTATCATGAATTCTGCTGCCAGACTCATCCACCTTACTAACCGTTCCATATCTGCCACCCCTTTCTGCCAATCCCTCTACTGGCTTCCCATTGCCCAACGAGTAAAATTCAAAACATTAACAATAACATATAAAGCCATTTTATAACTCTGCCCCAAATTACATCACCGATCTTGTCTCCAAATATCATCCAAACCGTACTCTCCACTCCTTGCACGACCTCCTGCTCTCTATCTCCCTTGTCTCCTCCTCCCATGCTCGTTTCCAGGACTTCTCCAGAGCCTCCCTCATCCTCTGAAACGCTCTACCCCAATCTATCCAACTATCGCCTACTCTGCCCACTTTTAGGCGATCTCTTAAAACCTATCTCTTCAGGGAAGCCTATCCTGCCTTCAGCTAATAGTGGAATCTTCTACTCCTCCTACCAGTCCATCCCCCCACAGTTATTACCTTTTGTACCACTAGCCCCTCCCTCTTAGATTGTAAGCTCCAAGGAGCAGGGCCCCCCTAACCCTCTTGTATTGAACTGTATTGTTGCTGTATTGTCTCCCTTTATATTTTAAAGCGCTGAGCAAACTGTTGGCGATATATAAATCCTGTATAATAATAATAATAATAATTCTTATACTGCCCCTGGCAGGCCATGTGGCTCAGGTCACTGAGTAGCTGTGAAATTATACTACAAAAATATTGGGGGATGAGAACCCCAAGAAATGCCCATACTGTATCTTTTAATAGGACAGGTCTTACCTTTATCCGGATGTATCCATGCTGCCCATGATTGCTGCTTGTTAAACAGGAGGGGGCAGTCCTGCGTTGCTTCCAGTAAAACGCCTTGAATGGTCCTCTGGCTATAAGCTTCAAGGCATCAGGAAGGTAGGAGACAGCTGCCAAGAGAGAGGCAACATATACCAAGATCCAGAAAAGAACACCTGACACCCGCAGGGCAGCCCGTGTCACCATCAGGAGGAGGCGAGAGACATAGAACTGCATTCTTTCCTCCCAGCCTGTACAAAAAAAAAAATTGTAAATTTCCTTAAAGTAGATCTTTCAGCAACCTAAATTCAGGACGACGTTCAGTGAGCATTTAATGGGGGGAGGGGACATATATCAATTCTGTTGTACAGCAATGAAATGCTGACAAAGACCAGTGAGACATACTGTGAGAAGATTCTCATCTTAACCTTTGTAAGATCTTTGTTGAAGGGCTGGGCAGGAGCCAATACAATCGCAGAGCCAATTCTGGAGGACAGCAGTGGTGTGGCAGATAACCCAGGGGAATGGGATCCCTCGGACCAGACCAGGCTGTTGATATCCTTAAAGGGGACCTCTGGCAGACAACCATATACACAAATGCGTATTATGATTGCTCATCTGGTGAGTGCGTAGTCTAAACATATATTCCTGGCACATCACCTGTTAGAAGCATACAGAGAACCTACTTGAGACCAATTTAGTCGGATCTTCACTACTAATACTCTGTGGAGTTTGAAGTGATGTTTTTGGCACTAATGAGTGCTCAATATTGTCACGTTAGTAGCACTATATTGTGGATATATATTCACATGTATAAACTGTATAGCGAGCGCTACTGCAACAAAAATATATGCAAATTATGTATAAAAGCCGCTAGAACACCAAAAAGGCAACCAAAAAGACCTCCCAGAGAACTATAGAAATTATAAAGGTGCAGCGCTGAGAATAGGAATAATATCATGCAAATGTCAGCAGAAAAGTAGATCTATAATATGCAAATTTTGTTATATGGAGCACAATGTGGAATGTATAATTGTTAATGATCACAATTCAATATAATGTCCAGATCCCAAGGAATGTGACATAAGGATCTTGCAGAGTCACGTCTAACGGTGATAATATGTGATCCAGAGGTGAAGATAATTAAATAAGTAGAATGCGCACTCACCAGAAGTGCGTATTAGATACGCATGAAAGAAGTTTCCTTTGCCATCAGATACATCTAGGTCATCTACATTCTGGTCAGGCTGCATTCCCTAACATCCTTTGGTCATCCGTTATAGTAAGACTCCAGGGTTCATCAGACAATCACAGAACAAGGGTCCCCTTTTAAGGTAGGTACTGCGGAGGGTGGTGCTCATAAAGAGAGCCCAATAAGGGACACCCCATAGTGTGATACTGTATAAATAAACTTTTATTCCAAATGTAGGTAAGTAGAAAACAAAATAGTACTGACCGGAAATTCAGGATGGCCACCAGCGGTGGCTAGATGTCCAAATGCTGTAGCCCCCCCTGACGCGTTTCGTGCTAAGCACGTACTCATAGGGTGCAGGGCTTACGGCTTATGTCACATTCCTTGGGATCTGGACATTATATTGAATTGTGATCATTAATTATACATTCCACATTGTGCTCCATATAACAAAATTTGCATATTATATATCTCATTTTCTGCTGACATTTGCATGATATTATTCCTATTCTCAGCGCTGCACCTTTATTATTTCTATATATTCACATGTCATTTGCACTATATTACCTTATATGGGCATACCATTTATTTATGTATATGGACAATTTTTTATATATTTATTTATATACAGTGATTTATTTTTAGCACTGCACTTTGTTTTAACTTTACCTGTTTTGGAGGTTTATCTTGGTTACCTTTTGGTGCATGAGCAGTTTATGGTTTTGGCGCTCGCTTTTCTGCCTGTATTATACTGTGAGACTTAAAGTGGTTGTAAACCGCTGAAATTAAAAATGAACAAAGCATATCCTCATATAGTGTGTACTTGCCTCAATCCGTAGCACATACTGTAGATGTACATTTATTAAACTGAAAATTGTATTATCAGTTCAGCTCTCCGTACTTCTCCTCTGCAACCTGTGGATGAAGTGGAGAATTTCTATTCTCAGAGGCAGAAGAAAGTTTTATAACGCACATTTTGGCGCAGATTATTTATCACGCATTTTGGTGTGTTTTTTTTACACGTATTTTGGCATTTCTTTTAACACGTATTTTGGAGCTTTTTTATGCACATTTTGCCAAAACAGACATCTGCTAGCTGCATTTGGGGTAACATTACCAATTAATTGCACTGCAAGCTTTTTTTGCTTGCTTTTCTGGAATGAGCAGAAAAAACATGTTTCTCCAGATTTCTGGAATGCACAGGTGTGAATGGGGTGTTAAAAAATTAGCTGAGATGTGTGTTAAACAGTGCCAAAATGTACACTGAAAAAAGTGCTAAAATGCATGTAAAAAAACAAAAACGCAATGTGAGTTGAAAAAAAAGGCCAAAATACACATTTTAAAAAATGCACCAAACTTTGCATTAAAAAAGCAACAAAATGCCAAAATGAACCTTGTTGGGCTTGGAGCATTGTGCGTGCGTTTTTTTCCACGCATGTTTTGGAAATTTTTGTAACGCATTTGCGCATGACAAAACATGCAGCAAAATGCATGATCCCTAACTGCATTTGGGGTTCCATTAACAATAAATGGCACCTATATCATTTATATTCATAGCCCTTTGGTGCTGATTTATAGGAAGAAAGATGTCTTCTTGCTCACATGGCACCAGCTTCTCTCCCAGATTCTCCACCTCTGAGCTGCAGAATCTGGGACGGAGATATTTCACACTAACGGCCAGGGAGATCTTCAGATCTCACCTTCATAAACTGGCCGTTTGTGTGCAAGTGAATGGCAGAATGGTTGTGTGCTGTGATGAAAAGCGAAGAACATCTCATCTCAGTTACATAAACTGGTACACAGGAGAGATCAGCAGCAATCCTCAGGACTGCAACTCTTCTGTCTTTCATAAATGGACACATCAGTGTAGTTTGTGTCTGCTCTCCCCTTCCTCTTCTGCTGCATGAGCCACTTCTGACAGTTTGACACCAGGGAATCATGGGCAACCCACATCCCCCATCTAGCACACAGCAGGTGATTGACAGCCTCAGCTGTGCATGTTTCCCTATAGGACTGTGTAAAGGAGGTGTATCCATTCCCTCCACTCAAGTCTCAGATAACACTCAGCTCTCTGCTGTGCAGTGTGTGGCATCATACCCCTTCCTCCTGGAGGGAATCATGGGCAACGTGCATCCCCCCATCTAGCACACAGCATGTGACTGACAGCCACAGCTATGCATGTTTCCCTATAGGACTCTGTAATGGAGGTGTATCCATTCCCTCCACTCAGGTCTCAGATAACACTCAGCTCTCTACGGTGCAGTGTGAGGCATCACAGACCTTCTACCTGGAGGGAATCATGGGCAAACCCGCATCCCCCATCTAGCACACAGCAGGTGATTGACAGCCTCGGCTGTGCATGTTTCCCTATAGGACTGTTTAATGGAGGTGTATCCATTCCCTCCACTTAGGTCTCAGATAACACTAAGCTCTCTGATGTGCAGTGTGTGGTGTCACACCCCTTCCTCCTGGTGGGAATCATGGGCAATGCGCATCCCCCCATCTAGTACACAGTGATTGACAGCCTCAGCTGTGCATGTTTCCCTATAGGACTGTGTAATGGAGGTGTATCCATTCCCTCCACTCAGGTCTCAGATAACACTCAGCTCTATGGTGCATTCCTCCTGGAGCTACAAAATGCAAATGTAACTGTGCACTTTGAATGGATGTAGAGAAAAGAGTGCTACAGATAAACAAGTACAGCTTGGGATCAACATATACAGAAAATTCCTTGCTTGTGTGGATGGAGATCTGGTCCTGGCTATGGCCAGTTTAAATCTGCTAGTCCATCTAACACTACCCTCTCTCCCCAGAATGACAATTCTGCTGTCCAAAGGTGTCTCCATTGCTCCTTCAGTGAAGTGGAGACACTCTAAGGCTAGGTTCACACCTATGCAGTTTGCGTTTGATCCGTTTCTGCAGTGCGTTTTGCATTTTTGCACATGCGTTTTTGATGCATTTTGCATTTTTTGGGAGTATTTTTATTTTAGTTTTTTTTTCTTGCTGCTAGACAGATTTAAAATGCAAAATGTATCAAAAAAGCACTACGTGCTTTTCTGCAGTGTTTCCATTGAAGTCTATAGAACCAAAAATGCAACTTTTTGAGTTTAAACAAAGTCCCTGACCTTTTCCACAAAACACACCGGGTGAAAACAAGGAGATGTGAATGTGTCCCATAGGAAATCATGTTAAATGGACTGTAGTGCATTTCTGCAAAATGCTGCGGAAAATGCTTGGGTGTGAACCTAGGGTAAGGCCCTGTTTACATAGTGGGAACAAGTGTTTCCTGCTCACAATTTTTAATCTACAATTTTCACACGATTTTGCGTGTGGCGCATATGGCAGCCCATTCACTTCAATGGGCTTCCCTATACACACGTCACTCCTTTTTGGACAACGAGCTTAGCGTGATTCGTAAACTTGCGTTTTTGCCTGCGATTGCCACGCTATTTTGGCATGTGACAACTACAGCAAAATCGCATTGCATTTGGCGTGCCATTAAAGGATAATGACATTCTAACGTGTGCTGCACATTCTGCTGCGATTTGGAATCAAGGGAAGAATCGCTGTGATTCTACCTGCAATTTTGAATCGTGGGATCTGAACTGGGCCTAAGGCAGGAAGGGCATTACTGGCAGGATCACCAGGTGAAAATAAAGGAAAAAAAACAGTATAAAGAGAAAACGGTTGTTGATTTTATTGGTTGTCCAAGTGTTCATATGATTGGAAAGTCCAGACAACTACCAATCATTAGCCTGGACTGAAAGTTGTCTTTGACAGCTCAGTCTCTATGCTGGGAGGGTGCAGTGAGCTCAGTCTCCAAGCTGGAGGGTGCAGTGAGCTCAGTCTCCATGCTGGGAGGGTGCAGTGAGCTCAGTCTCCATGCTGGGAGGGGGGCAGTGAGCTCAGTCTCCATGCTGGGAGGGGGCAGTGAGCTCAGTCTCCATGCTGGGAGGGGCAGTGAGCTCAGTCTCCATGCTGGGAGGGGGCAGTGAGCTCAGTCTCCATGCTGGGAGGGGGCAGTGAGCTCAGTCTCCATGCTGGG